AGTGCAAACTCTGTTTCATATCTACTAAGCTCCACCTTTGTTTTTTGTTTTTTTCTTTTCCACTTATCCCCCACAGCCCCAGCCCCTGTGTGAAGGGGGTAGAAACCAGTTTTTGGGTAGCGGGAAGTCTATTTTGCCATTTCTGTAATGCTAAAACCAGTAGTATTTTACATTTTGGGGCTTCATAAATTTTGAATTTTGGGGGTCATGTTTGAAGTCTGCTTTTCTCTTTTACAGTGCAGAGCCCTCTACTAGACTCTCATCTGTCATATCGTGTGGTTAAAGTGTCAGCTATTCCACTTTGTTCACCTTGCAGGATAACCCTGATTTCACATCTCTTGGTATCTGAAGTTGCCCCTATTCCGTGTATCTAGACTTTCTTACTGCCGTATCTTACTGCAGTAACCTAACTGTTGTTTCTACCTGCCAGGTTTGCTTTCCTCCAAGAGGAATGTTCTCATTCTCAACCAGATCAAGGATTTCCCATTTTTATTGTGGATAAAGACAGACTGGACACTGTCCCGGCTTCATTCTCTATCCTTTAGAACACACCTTGTTTTCCAGATACCAGTCGCTGCTACCACAGGGCATTTGCATGAGCTTCTTTTCATGTGCTGTGCTCCCCTCTTGTCAGCCCTTTCACTCAGCCTTGAACCCTGAGCTGAAGTGATTCCCATTCAGTCATTGCTTGCCTCTCTTCTCCTCTTTTCCGGGTTTTCGTGCTCCCCTGTTACCATTTTATCCCCATTGCAAGGTTGCTTCTGTTGTTGGTTTGGTTGCTGAGGCCTGTCTTTCTCACCAGCCATATGTTCCTTGAGGGTAGTATCTGATGTACATGCTTTCCTTCATTAATACCTTGAAGTCAGTGGAAGTTTAAGACCAGAGATCCTACGTCTTTATGTCTTGACTTCCAGACCCAGCATTTCCCTTTTTTACCAGGGGCTCCAAAACATTCCCTAGTTGGCACTGATATTGTGGGTGGCCTGAGGGGACTCACCAATTAGACACAATAAAGCTATGCTTTTCCTACCTTGTAGTGTTAAATAGTGGAGGCATGCATAATCAGTGACCAGTTTTCCTTCCCATCCACCTTTATTTAACTCTTGGCACCCACTGCAGGTTACTCAGAATTTGGTGTGAGTATTTTACTTTTGCCCAACATTATACAGACATTGTTGAGTTTAATTTATAAAAGGTTAGTGAATGTCCTTCGAAGAATGCTTTGGGTTCCAGGCGTTCCCTTCAAACTCAGGATGTGAATTTCACATCATGGAGTAACCTGACTCCTACCTGCCTCTGCTCCCATGCACAAACTGGATCATCTTTACATTTGGGAGGCTGGGGGCAGCAGATGGGAAGATTCTGTGAAGGCTGTGGATCCTCTTCCCTAGGAGAATAACCTTTATACACAACACTTCTATGAAGCCATATTTTTTTATAACGTCAAGTCTGAATTGTCCATGTGATCTCACATCACACTGTGAAGTTTCTGTTTCATTATTCCAGTTTTATAGAATGGGAAATGAAGTGTAAGAAGTGCAGAGACTTTTCCACCATTGGAGTGTGGCAGATGTAGGATTCAAATTCAGACTCAGGGACTCTGGAGTCCAGCTCCATGTATGCACACCTGCTCAGATATTTTACAATGTATATCAGGAGGTCATAGACCCTGAAGTCCACAGATGGCTGCTGCTATGGACCTTGGGTGCTAGAATTGAGAAACCCTGAATTTGAAGCCCCCAACTCCTTCCACTGACATCATTGCTCTACTTTGATTTCAACACAGTCCAGGTTAGCAGTTTAACAACTAGAGAACCAAGTTCTAGCACATTCACTCCCAGGTGCCCTTCCTGCCTTCTGGTTCTATCCCATCATTCTCCGACCTTAGCTGTTCCTGCTGCCTTCCTCGGTGTGACTTTATCTAGAGTCAATGCTGACTGCTACTGCTTTAACTTTAAAATTTATTTATCAATGTGTTTTTCACATACTATTTTTAATTGACTCACTTTAACTAATGGATTAATTTTTTATTAACCCCACAATGGGAAAACCAGTGCTATTTGACATGGATAGACAATGTAAAAAAATAACCTATGAAAATGAACCAGAGGTGCCAACCATTAAATTCTAACTTAAATACTTACTTTTGGGTAAAAAGGGAAAATGAATGCGAATCAGGTAAGGCACCAAATGAAGATTTTTTTCTTTTCCTTGATGTAGCCATTAAATACATATAACCAAGAAAAGGAACTATCTTTTTTACTCTGTGTTTTAGTGAATTGATAGTATCTGCTCAGCACTTAGGATCTCCTCACAAGTATTTGGACACTTCTACCCTTGCTGTTGTCCCTACTCAGTACTTTTTATTTTGTGGGCAAAACAGCTTTGCTTTCAGATGGAAATCTGTCAGTCAGTGGGGAGTTATGCCTGTGTGGTCACCCTTCATGCTCCCCATGAACTCCGCCCAACTATGTACAAATAAGCTTGACGGTAACTGACTTTGGGATCTGCTTCTTGAGTTTCTGGCACCGTTTGTGAGTGCTTTCTCCATGTGATTTCCTTCAGGCGTCAGGACAGCTTTGCCAGGTAGACATCGCTATTGCCATTTGAACAATGGTGAAAAGTGAGTGCAGAACAGTGAGTTAACTTGCCCAAGATCACACCTCTGTAAGTGGCAGGTTGGAATTCCAACCCAGGTCCATCTGTCTCCCAGCTGATGATTATCATCACAGTTTGCATTTTGCAGTAACTACCTCTGGTGCATTTTGTTTCAAAACAGAGCCATATCATCAGTGGGCATCAGAAAATGATTACATGTAGCTGGGAAAGTTCTCTCTGTCCGGTTTAATATGTAAACAGAATTATAAGCCACTTTCCAAGCGGGCGGGAGAATGATACGTGTTTCTGGCATGCTGTGTGCTCTAGTGAGAAATACTGTAAAATGAAAAATGAGATTAATGTTTCAGATTGTACAGTTCCCTAATTATGCTTTTAATTATTCATATAAAACAAGTAAAATGACCCCTGACAGAGACATAAATGATTTAGGTAAAATCAAATATTTATAGGATGCTGCTGAGTCCCTGGGTATATTGTAACAGATGCACTCAAAATGCTTTGCTTTTGTCCTTTAGATGCAAAATGTTATGTATAGAATTTTTAACAGGCTGAGAGTAATTAACAGTATTTAAGATACTACTGAGCTAATTCATTGGTATTTTGATTTTTGGAACAAAGGGTACGTGATTGGTTTAATACAGTATTTTAGAAGATGATATAATATTACATTTTAAGTCTTTTAACTTCATATTCAATATAAAATTTTACCTTCTAAAAATATTGCATTATATTACCTTTTAATATTGTAATATTGCATTACAGTATCTTCTAAAAATATTATGTTTTAGGTATCACCAACCCCCTGCCCTTTTCTACCTTTTCTAATGGTTGAAAATATGTCAAGAAGAGAATAATAATATTCCATGACATTTGGAAATTACACCCAATTTTCAGTTTTATCAGATTGCAGTGTTAGTCATTCATTTATGTTACTGGGTTTGGCTATCAAGACTAAGTCGAGTAGTTGCAACAGGGGCCCTATAACCCACACAAAGCCTTAAATATTTACTATCTGACCCCTGTTAAGGAAGATGCCTATCATTCAATAAAGGTGGAAGAATGCTGTGACCTGTTTTATCAGCTCAAGAAACACTTGCTTTTGTTTCGTTTAATCCTTTAACTTGCTGTCCTACTAATTGGACATTCCCTGTGGTTTTTTTTATAAGGTGGAGAAAAACTGCCTTTTCAATGCAATAAAAAGGAATTGATACAAATGGGGTTCCTTCCCTTACTTTTAATGTTTTCTTTATCTAGAATAAAGTGCTGAAATTAATTGCAGTTTTAGAAATGGCTCATTAGTCTAGTCCCTATCTTTTATGAAGACCTAATTTTCATGCAAGACATTCTTCTGTAAAACTCTAGAATCTCTTTAGGAAGAGGAGGCAGGGAGGACAAAAGAATTCTCCATGGCCCAAACACTCTTGGTTTTTGACAGGCTGCTCAGTTTGCTGATTGGCATCTTACACAAATATAGAAGCCAATGAGTGTTTGTTGAATGAATGAGTGATTTCATTTTAGTAAACAAAGAGGGGAATATATAACATAAAGAAAATCTGATTTTTAATGATTTGGATATTACATTCCTTTAGGAGCAAAGAATTTTTCTGGTAGTGTAAGTCCAACTTTTTTTGATCCTTATTTCTTGTCCCTATGTTTTGGTGAAGAAGAGTATGTTATTGAAATTGGGGGGTTGAGTTGATTGAGGCTACCGTTGTTAGGCATTCTTTTGGATGGGCAATGAAATTAAAAGAAGCAGTAAAGTAAATCTGCATCTGTTGAGTGACTTGAATGGAATTTTCACAGCACTTTCCTGGACACCATTATCAAATGCAATGAGGGCATTCCCCAACCCCATGTATCTCCCTGCTGTTATATTGCCTTAATTAATATTGGAAGAATCTGCAAATTTTGCTTCCTGACCTCATGCCTATGTTTTTTGATCACAGACATGTGCCTCTCACATCTGACCTATCATACATATATTTCCCATCTCATTCCAGACCTTGAAGTTCAGGGTAGCTTACAAAAGAACAATCTCACTCTCTGGATATTTTGATCATCAGGCAGATTCACAAGCCCCAGACTGAGAGTGACTTCGTCTGTCTTTTGTCTCCTTTTTGAAAAAATTTCTGAACAGCTAAGAAATACTGATATCATTTCCTGGGAATTCTCATGATTAATAGGCAGCTGGTACTTGAGAGCATTCTGTCACTAAAATGTGCTGATTTATTCAGACTGGTGTTTTTGACTTGTTTTTTTAACAGGTACATGAAGAAATCGTTCATATCACGTGATCATAAACTTTATTAGAATCATCAGAAAAAATTCTTCAGATTTGGTTTTGAGACTTGTTTGTTTTCCTTCCCTTCCATTTTATACAGTTGCAATCCTTCTGAAAGATGACTATTTCATCAGTGGCGCTGGCCTGCCTGGCAGATTCAAAGCTGAGAAGGTGGAATTTCACTGGGGCCACAGCAATGGCTCTGCAGGCTCGGAACACAGCATCAACGGCAGGCGGTTTCCCGTGGAGGTGAGAGTAACTGGGATGTCAGAGTGGAGATGTGCTATGGGTCTTTCCATGAGTGACATGCTCTGTCTTTGCCCCGAGTCATTTTTTGATGCAAGCTCGTACCCTCTTCCCTTTATTTCTGCAGATCTTTTATAGTTAGCATGAGAGGTGATGATCCATCCTCAAATTTCTCATCTCAGGCGTCATGGTTGAAGGAGACGCACTCCTGATCGATGGTTTTCCAACTATTTGTTATGTTTGATGCAGTTTCCATTCACTATTCATTCCTAAAGCTCTTCTTTCTAAAGGTGAAATTTTGTATGAAACAGGGGGGACTTCATTTTCACCCTTTAGAAAAGAGGAAAGTTAGTTGATGTATGAAGAGGAATCTCAGAGCCTGCTCTCAGTAGGGAAGCTTTTTTAAGGTTTGCCAGCTGTTGAGAAGGAGGCTGTGGACATTTGGTCAATGACTTGCTGTTAACTCTGTCAGGATCGATGGTGACATTTTGCCTCCCTGTATCAGTTTTCTCAAAGATCCATGCTGTTGGACATAAGAAAAGTGTGGTGCAATAGGTCATATATATCTTTTGGTTGAGGGAGGAAAGAGAGAGCAAGTCTCTAAGCTCCTTCATTAATGCTTGGGTGGGGACAGCACATTACTTCTAGTGCTAATTTTATTTTTCCCTTTAATCAGGATAGGAATATAATTTTGTTAAAGCTAACTTGTTTCCTGGTTGACTACCCATGTGTTAAACCTTACAATTTTATGGAAACACTGAAAATGTGTACATTCAGGTCTATGGCTGTACTTAATCGTGGAATGACTAGATAACTGTCTCAGTGGTAGTCTGTTTTAATCAAGGTGCCAAGCCAAGGAAGATATCAAATCTTAGTGTTTGTTAGACCAGAGGTATGGGGCATGAGGTGATTCACCAGAGAGAGGGGGGAGCAGAAGAGGCAGATCTATTGAAATACACTGCTGAAGAGCAGCGGGAGAGACAGGAGAGATCTGCTGCTCCATGTGGGTTGCTCCCTGGCCGGCCGGGATCGAACTTGTGCTGCACTGGCTGGCAATAGCTTGATAGCACTGTGTCTTTAACCCCTGCATCATCGTAGAGGCTCCTCAACTCTTAGTGTTTCATAACTTTTATTAAGTCATAACTTGCTTAGATAATGTGATCAATGTTTGAGGCCTCCTCCATAGAGAAAATACAGTTCTATGTCTATAAACAGATTTACATATGCTTCACAAGATTTCATTACTCGCCCTACCTCATCAAGGTCATTCTTGGACCCTGTAGGCACCCAGGAATGAAACTTAGGTAAAGCATTCCTATAGCTGAGAAAATCTGTAGTATGTCTTTTTTTATAGATGCATATATTCACATATAAATTTGTTTCTTATCTGTGATTGCTGGAGAAATGAGAGATAACCTACTCTGAGAAAGTACTTCTTCTTTTTTTTTGTTTTTCTGGTTTAGATGACAAATTCTAGTACCCACATTCTTCCTGTATTAGAATTTTTCTATCTGTGAGACTTTCTGTTCTACTCACATTAATTACTTGTCTCATGAGTTGGGTTTCTACTTAATGTGTGCTCGCCTCTTCCCTTAAATTGAATGAATCATTTCTTAGAAATCTTGGCTTTATTTGAACTTGGCAAATTTGATTTCTAGAAGCAAAATTACATCATATTTAAAATTTGGGACTTCCCTTCTGTTCTTACTGATAGTCACCATTGGCAGTGTGAGTTAAAGGATAGCTTTTGTCGAGGTAGCTTTGCTCTAAAGCCTTTCTCTTAAAAGTGGGTTGCCACTTGCTAAGTTGATACTGTTTTAGACAAAAGACCTAAGCTTGAAAGTTTGCAAAGCTAATTTGATAAGGACCTTGGAAAAGAAGACCTCTGGTGCTGGGAACCAAGATCTCTTCCTCATTTTGTTTGTAATCACATCTCTTATTACCTATTAAGCCTGCCTCCTCTCCGGTTTGATTCTGAAAAAATGCAAAGGTTGGATATATTTTCTTCACTTTTTTTTTTTTAACACCTCATCTTTTTTTTTTTTTTTAAATACAAGCACTGGGTACAGTCAGAAGTACAGGAGGGTGAGAAAATTCACCAGAGCCAGAGCGGGGAGCAGAGCAGGCAGAAGGACCAAAGTACACTGCTGAGGGGAGCAGCGGGCGGCAGGAGAGGTCTGCGCGCCATGTGGGACCCTCGCTGGTGGCTGGGGATTGAATGGGCGCAGCAGAGGCTGTGGGCAGCTTCGCAGCCCAGTGCTCAACAACTGGATATATTTTCTTTTGAAAACATTTTTTAAATTATGTTTTATTTAGGTAACATTGATTTACAACACTGTATATGATCTAGAGGTGTAGCTTACCACCTCTGCAGATGTATTTTGCCATACCATGCCCATAAGTAAAGCCCCAATAATCCTCTACCATAATCCATAGGCCCCCCTCCACACTTTGCTTCTGCCTCCGAACCCTCCCTTTCTGATAGCTATAGTTTTCAGTAGAATGTCTAAGATTTGTTTCGACTTTCATTTTGTTTGTTCCTTTGGTTTTATTCTTTATATTCCATATGTGAGTGAAATGATTCAGTATTTGTCTTTCTCCTTCTGACTTATTTTGCTTAGTATAACCCTCTGAAATGCATCCATGTTGTCACAAATGGGAAGATTTCATCTTTTTTTATAGCTGAGTGGTATTCCATTGCGTATATATGACATTTTTTTATCCATTCATCTTTCACTGAGCACTGAGGTTGTTTCCATAATGGTAATGAACAGGAAAGTGTATATATCCCTTAAAATTAGTGTTTTTGTGTTCTTCGGGTAGATAGCTAGGAGTGGGATTTCTGGTTCATATGGTAGATATATTTTTAATGTTTTGAGAACCCACCATATTGTTTTCCATAAAAGCCAGTCTACAGCAGCAGTGTATGAGGGTTCCTTTCATGCTACACCCTTGCCAATACTTGTTATTCCTGTCCTTTTTAATATGGGCCATTCTCATAGGTTTGTGTTGGAATCTCCTTGTGATTTCGATTTGTATTTCCATGATAGGAAGAAAGCATTAATTTAAAATAAGTATTTTGGTTTGCTTTTACTCAAAGGGTGCCATTAAATTCAGACACTAATTTTCTATGGCAGCTATGATGCACAGACTTATTGTTTGACAAGGTTATTTGAATTTATTTCTTTTAAGAAATACAGATTATAAGCCTGCTTATATTAATTGAGTTCCTCATAGAAGTCCATCTGTCTCATAACTTGTTTTTTTAATATGATAAACATGTTAAATTGCTTAAGTGGATATATTTGGCAGAACTTGAATTTCAAAGATCAAAGGTAACAGGATCAAACTTCAAAATATGCACAGAAAAGTTGTTCACTTATGCCTGAAACATGTCTGTAATATTTTGTGTTATATTCCTTTATTTGATTTCTTCATTAACAGTGACTCTCCTTGAGAGTTTTATACTGTCTGATCACCTCAGACTTGGTTTATTGCTTTCCACGTAACTACATTGCCTTCCTAGAAATTACAATAAGAGTGAGACAATTTTAATTTAATTTATCATGTAGTAATTTATCAGCAGTAGGAATATTATTTTTTTGTCTGTATACACTGTATGTGAGAGTCAGAGAAAAACCCTTGTTGTAGATTGTCCTGGAATTGGTAGAATACAACTTTGATTCTCAATTGGAGAAATTATGACCTTCCTTCCCTGGGGGATATTAGGCATTGTCTGGGTATATTTTTAGTTGTCACCACTGTCTGGCAAGGGTATGCTAAAAGAATCTAGTGACTAGAGACCAGGGATGCTGCTGAGCATCCCAATTCATAGGATAGCTCCGAGACAATTATCCTTCCCAGAATATCCCTGTACTCAATGTTCAGTGGACTGGAGCCGTCCTTTACTTGTATCGTTTTCAATACATTTGAATAATGAGGACAGTGCTTGGGAAGTTGTTCTATCCTGTTGGTTTTAGAGAGGAAGTGCACCTTGCCTTGTGGGTAAGAGCGTTGCTCATCCAGATCCCCTCAGATCCCACTTGTGGTAAAATCACGACCTTGGGCATTTCAGAGGCAGCCTGGGTACTCCAGTTCTACAGGTTGGATTTTAATCATATGTCCACAAGAATCTGGTCTTGCTCTCTGAGGTTAAATGACAACAAACCCAACTTTGTAGGTTTTGCTGCTTCCCAGGAATTCTTTGAGGTCATCACTAGCAACTCTGTACACATGCAGAAATGACACCTCACCACATTATCCTGGCTGAAATCCTGGACTCAGCCTTGAAGTTCCTATATTTAAAAGCATCCAATCTTACAGAAAAATAAGTCTTCATAAAAACAAAACAAAAGCCCTTCAATAGCCAACACTCCTTACCGCTCAGTTAAAGTTAGAAAAGAAAGTGGGAGTGAGAATACAATGCCATGCCTAAGAGACAACACCCAAATTGCTTCCTCAGATGCCCTCACCTCCTACTATTCAGCTTTATTCCTTGCCTCTTAATGCGTTTTTCTTGAGTGCCTTGTGTTGTGAGACACTGGATTACAAAGTGAGCTAGAAAGACATGATCCCTACCCTCATAGTATTTATACTTTAGTGGTGACACAGAAATTGAACAAGCGGTCATACAAAGAGCTGTGATTTCATTTGTGATATAGTCACTTAAGGACAAGGACATTTTGACAGGAGATGAAAGTCCTTTGGAGACAGCAGTATTTATTAAGATGGAAGAGATGAATTGGAGCCTGCAGGTAGAACAGGGATATGCAAAGACCCTCAGGTAGGGAATACTTGGTGAGACTTTATTAAGAAATAAAAAGAGATCAGTGGCAGTTTTCAGAGGTAGGATAATGACCTCTTAAAAATGTCCTATCACTAATTCCTGAAACTTGGAAATATATTGCATCACATGGCAAAAAGGACTTTGCAGGTATGATTAATTTTCCTTAAAGTCCAAAGGCTCAGAATATTCCAGTGATTAAAACAGTGGGGCTTCATCT